TCGATGACGCCGAAATGGAGGTTAGTTGTTCAAATAATATTGCAATGACGTATGATTCAACCCGAATGTTTCTATCCCGCGAAAATACATGAAAGTAAACATCTTTTGCTATGACAAATTTAGGTTGTTCATGTTCTTGCATCAAAGGGTGTCAACATGGTCCCTTTCAAACTGAATTACACAGTTGATTCTGTTCAAGGCATCTTAAATTTCACAATGGATGTTGATACACTGGCTCACTTTGATGAGTGGCAACGCTCAGGCCAGGATAACGTGTATGAAGCCCAAGAGCAGTGGCCCACTGAACTACGCCGTGCTCGCATAATTCCGGCAGTGGATTATATACAGGTGTTTATCTACTCCTGTAACTCATAGCATTTTTACATATATATTTAGCTCCATAAAAACTAATGAAATAATGTGGCAAATAGACATAAACTTGAGTGATTGAATCTATGACCTGTAATACTATGTTGCTGAGGGTGACAGAAAAAGTTAGTTATTCAAGTTAATGGTTGCATATCACAATAATATATCAATATCAGTCTATACTTTTTTGCTATAATATGTTGCTGCATGCAGGCACAAAGAGCAAGGGGAAGGTTAATAAAAGAAATAAGAGAGAGTTTCACTGTGGATGCATTCATTGGCAATGCAACTGACTGGGAAAAAGTTAGCATTGGAAACCTTGTTGGTTTACCAATAATAGTAGTTCCAACAGGGTTTACCAATATCACAAACCCACCACCTGGTGGCACCAGAAGAAGAACCACCGTACCCGGCGGCATTTATGCTCCTCCTAACCGTGATCACATTGTATGCTTGTGACTGCATTCTATGTTTAGTAGAACAATAATATATAACTTCATCCTTATTTGCCTTCATTTTCTGTCCTTTGTTTCCAGGCTTTGGCATTGGCAATGGCTTACCAAGAAGTCACTGATCACCACAAAAAGCGCCCACCTATCAATGATATTGGTCCAAATGATAAGATTCCTGATCCACATACTGTTATTTACCCTCCCAGGGTTTTGCATCATTGAGCAACCAGAAGACAGGTTCCACACATCAAACCGGAAGAGTTCTCAGTTTAATCGAGAGCCAGAATATAAATATTTTATGTTGTGGATTTGTGTCACTTGGGATCCATTTGGTGTGAGCCATTGTGAAAACCTAATTGAGGAAAATGAAAAAGTTCTACTTTATTTATAGATCTCTGTGACAAAAAAGAATAGGTGTACCGAAACTGGGCTTAATAATGAATGCTACTGTGGACGTGGTATCTGGAAATTCCTTCACTTGATTGCATAGGAATTGGCAAGAGAATTTCACAGGCAATATACAAAGCACTAAATTTTAATGAAACTAAGATAAAAGTCACAAGCAAATTACACTTATTTTATTTTTCCAGCAAAATAAAAGCAGTAGTAGGTACTAATTAAAAACAAAACTAAATTTACTAATCATGATCTAGAGTTGCAGGATCAACACCAACAGACTTAAGAGTCTCGACACGAGGTTGATAAGCATAGGCATCTTTACGAATAGGATCTGGAATAATATCATTATCAGGGTAACTCTGATCCTGAACATGTGCCACTTTTCTGAAAAACGATTTCTTAACGAAATTATCAGCTTCCTCAGCTACATGTTCAGGTTCAACAACCTCAGGCAATGTCTCCCTTTTCTCCTTCTTAACCCTCACAGTTGGGGAGTTTCTAAGTTGTTGCCATGCAGTGTGGAGGCCTAGCCCTGTGGCCATGGCTATCATACCAATGGCTACATAGATTGGTACGAAGTTTGCTGGCTTTGCATTATTTCGTTGTTGGTATTGGTGCTGACTATGGTTGTAATCACCTGTAGCAGTAGGTGATGCTTTCATCTTTGGTGCTGTTGAGGTTGTGAATGTACAAGTGTTGCTTCCACCTTTGAACCCTTTGTTTAGAAGTGCTACCCATTGACCCATCTGTAACAATGACCAAGTATTCAACATGTAAGGCCATCAATGTGGGAGAAATCAGAAATGTTGATATTTCAACATTAGTTGAAGGTAATATCAATTATGAAATATATCATATTTGGTATCTAAAAAATAGATTACAAAGACCATAGTAACAATAAATATTGTCTGATATTTGATGTTCAAGACCATCAAGTTTCAATTATTTAATTTTTTAACTTTCATATCAAATCACTTCAAGAATACAAGATTATACATATATACCTATTTCATTCCATATTCTAACAAATATTATCCTACTTGAGTATAAAAACAAAAATTACGTATTTCTACTTATATATTATTTCATATTCAGTATAAAAAACAAAAAACAAACACTGTTCACTTGTTATTTCCCAAACAAAAATGTAAACAGGTTAATGTAAGGTGCAAAGACATTAATTCTCACCAACTTTTCAAGCCTAAAAATTTATAGAAAACAGAAAGAAAAATTGAAGGCTATGAATCTCGTAGTAGAGACATAAAAGAAAACCATACCGTTGGCCTGAAAGGCATGATTGGGAGCAAATAAGTGGAAGGAGGAAAAGGATTGTGGGCAGAAATGTAGAGTAGTTGCAGATACTAATGCAGAGGCAGATAATAGTTCGTTGCTTGGTGCAGTTGCTATTCCAGGTTGTCCAATGCTGCGCTTATATGTAGTTTAATGGTTAAGTCTTTTGTCCTTGTGCTACTCTCAAAACACAGAGAGAAAGTTCTGGAGACACGTAGCAGAATGCTGAATACTTATGACACTTGTCTCTGTATCCATCTGACACCACAACAAGAGAAGCCTCTGGAAGTGCCACGACTTATTTATGTTTTTACACACTGAACTACTTAGCCACTAAACCTATAACTAAGGGAAAGGTTAAGAAATCATTTTTTTTTGTTTTTATTTTATTCTATTATTATTTGTGGTGAAAATTCTAACAGCAAGATCGTGTATCATGTTTTTAAATAGTTGTGGTGGAAATAATTTTTACTATTTTCACTATTTCGTTTAAAAAATCATCAAAAACATAAAATAAAAACTTGGAATCATAATCATATTAGTTTGTTTGTGACTTTAATCATTAAAAAAAACTCAAAATAAACACAAATGATAATATGACTTAATCTAGTTTCTTTGTTCCTCTCCCATAAAACACTAAGAAAAACAAAATATAATAATTATATTTATTTAGCCTTATAATAGTATGACAAATGAAATTGCAGAATTGAATAATTGAGAGGAAGGAGAATTCAAGAGTAGCTTACTCTAACAAGTTCTCATATGATTCGATCTAATTAAACTAGAGCCAGTAATCTTGTTAGCCCTCTTGTTAGCACTCAAAGATTTCCTGACCTTGACTAAATCATCCCATTGCTCATAGTGAGCATAAATATTAGCCATGACAGAATAAACCCCACCATCCTCAGGCTTTATCTGCATCACTTTCTCTGCAGCTTTCTTTGCAATTGCAACGTTCCCATGTATCCTACATCCACCTAACAACCCACCCCAAGCACCCACATTACCCCCACTTGGCATCCCTTTTATCATTTCAACTGCTTCTTCAATCAACCCAGCCCTCCCCAACATATCTGCCATGCACCCATAATGCTTGCTCTCCCTAGGAACTCCATATAAAGTTTCCATCTCATTGAAAATCTTTCGTGCCTCGTTAACTAAACCTGCATGTAGGAACGGATTCAAAAAACATCAGAGGCTGAGCTTGTGTACACATACATGCAATGAACTGCAATTGTGGTCAAATTGTACACAATCACGGTAAATACTAGAATCAAAACTGCGATCTTGAACCTTATATGTAACAATAGGGAGAGGTAAGAGCGTCCTTACCTGCATGACTACACCCAGCCAGAACTCCCAAGAAGGTGATCCCATCAGGTTGAACTCCCTCTTGAATCATTGTAGAGAAATATTCTATCAAAACTGAACCTTTCCCATGAATTGCAAGACCAACCAGCATGGCATTCCACGTAAACACATTCTTGTCTTTGCATGATTCAAAAACATCTCTTGCAGTCTCCAAATAACCACACTTTGCATACAAGTCCACCAACCCAGTAGCCAAATACGAATCAACTCTAATCCCATTCCGTCTAATGTAATCATGAACAACGCAACCTTGCTCTACTTCCCCCAACTTAGCACATGCAGAAAGAACAGACACCAGCGCTATGTTATCAGGCGTAACCTTTTTTAACCCAAGCATCTCGTTAAAGAGCTGAATTGCTTCACTACACAGATTGGCTTGGCTATATCCAGCTATCATGGTGCCCCACGATACGGAATCTCGTTCAGGCATTTCATCGAACAGTTTACGTGCAAGACAAATCTGGCTTGTTTTAACATACCCATCAACCATGGCGTTGTAGGAAACAACATCCCTATGGGGAGACTCAGAAAAAAGCTTATGGGCATGTTGGGTGTTTCGGTGAAAGGAGTAAACGCGTATGAAAGAGTTAAGAGTAAAGAAATGGGATAGGAAACCAAACTTGAAGGCTTGGGAATGAAGAGAGAGTGTTAAAGAGAGAGGGAGTCGGGGACATGCTTTGAGGATGAAAGGGAAGGTGTGGAAGTCAGGGGGGAGAGAGTGGCGGCGGAGGGAGGAGAAGAGGTGGAGGGCAGAGAGAGGTGAAAAGAGGAGAGTGTGGATTCGGATGAGATTGTTGTAAGAGAATGTGGTTGGGTTAGGGATAGAGTGGAAGAGTGAGAGTGAGTAAGATAATAATGAAGTTGAAGTAGTAATATTATTAGAATTGGAATGTTGTGAGGTGAGTAAGTTGGTGAATGTGGAGAGAATGTTGTTTAAGATAGGGAAGGTGTGGAGACCAATGGTAATGGTGAGAGCATGAATTTGGTGAAGTTGTGTAATGGATTTGCATTGTTTTATTATATGTAAGCTATTCATGCATGCAATGAATTTCAACAACAACCTGTGATTCTATATGGTTTGAACTTTGAAGGAAGAAAGCAGAATAAAAAATGTAAAAAACGTGGACGGCAGGATTCGAACCTGCGCGGGCAGAGCCCACATGATTTCTAGTCATGCCCGATAACCACTCCGGCACGTCCACATTCATGTACTAGTACTTTTTGCCTTTCTCTACTTAATAATGTTGCATTGCTGATATAAAATAAAAAAAACGTGGACGGCAGGATTCGAACCTGCGCGGGCAAAGCCCACATGATTTCTAGTCATGCCCGATAACCACTCCGGCACGTCCACATTCATGTACTAGTACTTTTTGCCTTTCTCTACTTAATAATGTTGCATTGCTGATATAAAATAAAAAAAACGTGGACGGCAGGATTCGAACCTGCGCGGGCAAAGCCCACATGATTTCTAGTCATGCCCGATAACCACTCCGGCACGTCCACCATTTGTTGATTATTCTGTAATACTAGAGAATTTAAACACTAAATTATATATACAATAGAATATGAATTCAATTAAAAACCACCATTTATAAAAATGAGTGACATTTAAAACTTGGTTAATGACTATATGAATTCATCCATATCTTGCAGTTTTGATCATTATTAATTATTTTTATTTCTCATAATGATAATTGTTATTTAGTCACTTCCTATACACTAATATGGTGTATATATTTATAAGTGCATCAAAATCTTTCTGTAACTTTTACTTTTTCTTAAGCTTTTAACTTGTTCATTTTACATTTTTCAATTTGTTGTCTCACGTTTTTTTGGCAGCACTATTGAGAGCACCATTTGGTTCCTTAATTTGTATGAATAATTTTTCTTAGCCGCAATTTGGTTCCATGATTGCAACAACAAACTAGTGCCAAATGAACTTGAATATGCACATGCAGGTTGTAGCAGAATGGAACAAAAACGTAATAAAAAGGCAGTTTCTATGGCTTTCTCAAGGAAGTAAACTTTTGGTCATGTTGGTGAATGGAAGTTGGAAGTATTAACAAAGATAGGGGAAGACTTAGATAATGTTGATTAGAGGGTACAATGAAAAGAGTATTAAAGGGTCACCTTGTTTAACTAAGAAGTACTATCTCAACCTCAACCAACTTGAGTGGGTTTCCTGTGCCAAAAATAATGCATTACCTATCATCAAAGACAGCAACTTTTTATTAATTTTTTTCTGGTTCTTCATATAATCATAAATGCAAACTAAATGCTCAAGCCTCAAGGCTCAATCACATGATATACAGAAGAACTAAACAAAGTGACCTTGCCAAATAGAAGGTGACAAACTATAAGGTGTGAATCATTTTATTACTATATTCACTTAACATCACTAGTTCATCATATGAGTCTTGTATAAAATAATTGCACCAAGTAATGAGTCATGTAACTATACAAGTACAGTACATTCTCATCTATAACAATTTTTGATAGCTATCCTAAAGACAAAGAAAGTTAGGTTTGGTTACTCTTTAATTATCCTATCCTGCAATTACATTCTGGATTTAGTTGTCCCACTAAGACTTAGTACCTTTGGGTTTTGGACAAATCTGGTCCCCCACCATACCCATATTATAGGTACTAATTGGATGGTCCCAACCCATTGTGCCCTATATATAAAAATGCAAGTGAATTATCTTTATCTGCTTCCTTTATTCTCTTTACAGTTGGCTGTTTTTGACCCTTTATTGCTATGACTATTTTTTTCATCATATCACCATTTTATTAACTTCTTTAAACCTGTTTTTCAATTCTGTCCACTCTTGATTCTTTTAATATCCGTTTCTTGTCATCTTTTTTCACATGGCGTGTGAGGCTCAAATTCTCAATGGCTTTCTCTTATGTAAAATATTGACAGCATCAATCTAAAGTAGAAGAACAATAATATTGTTTATAATTTTTCATAGAGATTGGAAAATGAAGGCTTTGCTTCCAAGTGTCTTTGCTCTTTGGAGAGGATATATATAAATGCTTGAATAGTGTGAGGTAAGTAAGAAACCCTTCTCTAATTGTCCTTTCATTCCTAGTGCAATCTTATCTACAAGCTAAGCCAGTTAACAACAAGGATATGGAGAAAGAGGAAACTGAAGAGGATGATGATAACAAAGTTCAGTTTATGAATACTATGCCACTCTCTTTTTGAAGAGAGAAGCGTGAAAAAGGCAAGTCTCAGTGGCATAGGGAAGGCAAAGCCTTTCTTCCGGGTTCGATTCATGAAGGTGCATCTCTGCTCGATATTTTAAATTGCGGTCAACATAACCGTTGCGATACGGATGGCAGCTGTTGCCGATTTGTAAAGAAGATGATGATAACAAGTCCAGTTTTTGAATGTTATGCTAATATCTTTATGGAAAGAGAAGCATGAAAAGGCAAGTCTTAGAGGCATAGGGAAGGCAAAGCCTTTCTTCCGGGCTCAATCCATGAAGCTGCATACTGTGCTGGTGATGGGTTGATTGCTATGTAATTTAGTGTTTTCTTTGTTTCTCTTTTCACCCATTATTTAGTCTAATCACTTTCAATGCTTGACTTAGAAACCACTCCAATAGATGCATGAGAAGGCAAGCTGCAGAAACTGAGGTAGTGAGTGATTTGAGAAATATAGATTGTAATGTTTGCTTTTTTTGGAAGTCTTGAATAAAGTAGTAAACTGTTTGTTGGTTTCCAATATAGAAAAAAGTCATTATTGTAAAGATTTACCTTGAAATGTCAAATTTAGGTCCAGCTTCCATTCCTTGTCTATGTATTTCTGTAAAAGACAAGGAATGTGCAAGCAGACACATACGAACTACTAAGTAAAACTGGGGATAAGTCCACTCTGCTAAGCTTGACATGAAGTGAAGAAAAAATATGGTGCATTTAATGTTACACAGATCATATATCATTTTTTAAGAATTTATACTTCATTTTTACCTAGCTTAAGTATAAGGTAGAGCATAGTGATCTACATCAAGCGTTATTCATATGTTGCACGTGGGAAGCTTTATATAACAGAGAGTCTTGTGGGTCCTAACAAATATGGTGTGATAGGAAAAACAGTAATGCATCCATTATGCAATGCATCCTGGAGAGATAAAAGCCAACAAAGAGTAGTTTCTGTTAGATAATGACCTTGGAAAGTCCAAAAACTATTTTGATATAGCATTTTCAATGGCAATTATTCATTCAAATTGTCTAAAAAGATGTATATTTCATTATGGTTTTTTCTACCCCAAATACCACACAAGACAATGACAAGTTTGTGCAAATCTTGAATCCACATGACTAAACAAGCAAGATTTTTTTGACCTTTACAATAATAGAGCAGACAAAACCCACAATTTTAGAGTGCCATATATTAACTTTATTCGCCCAACAGGAATTCCAAACACTGTTATCATTGTTTCCTCAACCTCAAAAGGATGACATCCATCACTTTTATTCACTCAAAATCCACACATCAATTTGTATTTTAGTGGTACTACTACTTATAGCATGAAAATAGAGAGAAGAGAATTTAGTATTTTTACTTTTCACTCTAGAATATAGCACACATAGTACACATATTCATGAGGGTAAGAACTATACCTCGGTATATCTAGGAATAATAATAATAATAATATAATACAACCCTACTTCCTCAACATTTAGTGTAGATAAACATGGGGAAAAACTTTCTGACTACAGATCATATCCTCAGAAGAATGACTATTTGCAACAATGCCTACAGGACTAGTTAACTCTTTTCTTTTTCATCATCATCAACAATTAAGGACTTCCTATAATATTTGACATCAGTTCAGTTGTCTAGGCAAAAACTATAAGAAATCTAATCTAGATCTAGATTCTTCTTCATACTTTCATAGACCATATAAGTAATGCTTGCAGCAGGCACAACTTTGAGGAGATTTGGAACGAGTCCCTTGTAGAAACCTCTGAAGCCTTCATCCTTAAGAGTTTTCCAAAACACATCAGACATTCCCTTGTAAGCATTAGAAGAGTTGCGGGACTGTGCCTGCAGTCTGAGAAGCACAATATTGTAACTTCAGCAAAATGCATCAAAAGAAATAACAAGAAAACTACCTTAGAAGAACAAAACTGATACCACCCCGACCGATACTACACTGTACCTTGTACGAATAACCTGCAGTGGATAGACACAGGTAGCTCCAACAGCTCCTGAGATTGTCCCACATCCCAGTTGTACTAGAGGACCGGGTTCTATGAAGGGAAAACGAGAAAAAGTTTGGGTCATAAAAGTTGATCATTTTGTAGAGCCAATTTATCATTAAAAATAAAAAATGTTCGAACAAAATAAAATCAGTAGGTTCGAGAGATAGTGTGGTTGCAGTAATATCATACCGCTGTCAAGAAGATATCTCTTTGACATATCTTTCAAGGTGTCATAAGCAGTGAGATCAATGCCTGCATAAGGAATCATACCAAGAAGAGATGGAACAAGCCCTCTGTAGAAAGCCCGTGGTCCCTCGTGAACCCATATATCCTTTGTAAGTCTGCTCAGCTTAGGAACCCTTCCACCCTCAGAAGCGCAAGTCTGTAACCTAGTTTTAATAAGATCCATCGGATATATAGCCATCTGTGCAACAGCACCAGCCATACCACCTGCAAATAGTCTCCCAGCAGTACCAATATCAGCTGAATTGTTCCCTTGAGCCTCTCCAATTACATTTTTCAGCATTTCATAAGCATAAAACTTGATAGCACTTTCCGGTGCTACCTTCACAACATTTAATCCATTACCACGAAAAAACCCTAATAAGCCATCTTGTTTCCATATCTTCATTACAGCTGACATAATAGAAGCACTTTCAGTCTGAACTTGTAAAACTACCTTGAGACGATCAAGAGGAGCAGTTGCTGTGCGAGAAGCAGCTCCGGCTATCGCGCCAGCAATAAAGTATCTGCTCCTGTGAACATGCTTGCTAATGCCTTCAGGAATGACTGCTTGTTCTCCAATGTCTACAAGGCACACCCTCTCCCAATGATGATATATATTTTCAATAGTTGCTTCATGAGGATAAAGTAGCAGAAAATCTCTCCATTCTTCAAAGGTAATGATCCCATTATTATCCTTATCAACATGCTCTACAAAGCGCGCGAGCTCCTCCTCATCCATTTCAATCCCTGCAGCATAGAAGCTGCATATGCTTATGATAAAACTAAGGGAAACTGGAACTAGAGAATGAGAAAAGCATCCAGAAATAGCACAAGAGAATACCATCTTGAGTATCTATCTATATAATTTATAAAAGGACTGACAATATCACAATAGAATCCACCATCAAAGATTTAAGTTGAAACACACTACACAAATACCAAGCATCATGCAGGTCCATAGAATTATTGCCATTTTTTTAGAACTCTACAACCAACATAGGAGTACATATCTACATCCTAGAAGGACACACATATTCACAAGGGTAAACCAAAGATATGAAAGAACATAAAACCTCCAAACCTCCAAAACATTTTTAACATAATTGTTATTGCTATGGCGACAGAGGTGTTGTTCTTAAAAAATAAAACCTTCTAGTCAATTACAGAGTATAGTGATCCTAAACTACAAGCTTGCTCTATAAGTTTCTGAGAGCAAGGTTGTTATAACCACAACCACAGTCAACACATGGAGAATGATAATGTCTTTACTTGGACCACTCATGGAAATGGAAAATGGTAAGCAATATAGCCAACAACATGCTCATGTCACTTGAAAAGTAATAATATTATAGAAGGATGAAGAGCATACTAACTTAGCAATCAACAACGAAAGACCTTCTTCCACTAAGTGGAGTTGACTATATTTATCAAGAAATACTGCTGTGTTTCGTTATAAACAAGTCTTCAGAAAGGCTACTCAGTTCCTTTTTGGTTTTTCTAGAAAATCTCTCACCAAATAGGTTCGAGACTAATCTCTTGGATAGTTCAAGTGCATAAGCAAGGACCCCTCCCAATGTTTTCTTCCATACACATAATCATGGGATCAAACCCAGGACCACATGCTAGAGGGGCCTAAACATCTTCCACTTGGACCTACACATATTTGTAAGCTGTTAAGTTGTAAGTTATTTTAAAAGGACTTACAACGTATATAGAAAAAAATATATTAAATATATAAATCCTAGGCAATAATTACAAGCCATAACATAAACCAATAAACATCAAGATGAACATGTAATTAAGTAACATGAGAAGTGATAAAAGAATACCAACCAGCCTTAACAAGTGCATCCCAAAGCTCTTCAGGTAGAATGCAGCCACTGTGTTCAACATCAATAGCCTGAAAAATTCGGTAAAGTTCCAACTCCTTATCATCCATATATCGTCGAAAATCACCATAATCGATCCTCCCATCTCTGTCAGCATCACACACCTTGAACAGTTCCTTAGCATACTTATACTCAGGAGGTATCTGCAGTGCAGATAACCCTGCTTCAATTTGAGCATAGTCCAAGTACCCATTGTTTGCAGCATCAAAGAAATTGAACAAACTCCGAATTCGAAGATCCCTCTCTTCTTTCGTCTCGCGCAATGCAAGTAGCACGTGATCCATTGAAACCAGGCCCGTTTTCTTGCCGTGGCCGGAAGCCGGAGCCGCCGTGGATTTGGCTTTTGAAAACCCCACGTGGTCCATGTCTATGGCACCAGACATGTTTGGCCTATTTGAAACTTGGGTTTTAAAAATCAGAACAAAAAATGGTTTTGATTATGACCCAATGAAGCATTTGAAGGTAAGTATCTAACTTTGAGTTCAGATCTGAGCTTTAACGTTGTGGGGTTTGAAGGGTCAAAAATTGGAAGTCATTAAAGACCAACTGAAAAAGATAAATAGCAATTGAATTGAATTGAATTGATAAGAGTGCAGTGCGAAAAAAGAACGTGAAGAATAAGACGGAGAAGAAGCTACCTGAAATTGAGTAACTTGTAATTGGTGTTGAGGACGGTTTCAACTTACGCATCCATTCAATATATCTCTGTATAATCTATGAATAAATATAAATAAGTAAATAAAAATGAAACCGAATCGCAGTAATTAAGATATAATATACACTGAAAAAACCTGAGATCGTGAATGAGGGGTGGGCATGAATAAGGAAAGAAGTAAACAAATAAGGAAAAATAAATTGGTGAATATTGATGCTACGTGTTCCTTTAACTAGAGAAGGAGGGATATATTATTGAATATTCTATCTTCATACATTGCATACTTCTATTCTACTACAAGTTTGTTCCTTCTAATTTTTTTCTTAGTTTCTCCTCCGTTTATTTTTTTTTATAATCTTGAATTGATTATTGATGCATGTTATAAATGCCGATAAAATCTCTTCATTATTTCTATAAAAAAAAAAAGAGATTCATTTATTCAAAGATATGAATATCAACCTTGCAAAATAATTGGACTTATTTTTTTAAAGATATTCTATTTATAGGTAAGAAATAATTATTTTTATATGTGGGGTTATCTATCACTCGCATGAAACGATATAAAAATAACTTAAATGATAGATTGTAAACAGAAAACAATTTAAATAATATATACATAATCAATAAGAAATCCTCTAATTCAAAATACAAAAACTTTTGTTTATGGTTTGATTCGAGGTTATGCTAGGAAAAATGTTTTATGGTTAAATTTTGGAAATTTAGGCGTAAAAAATTAGAAAATTTGTCTTTTTGTACTTCAATTTTTACTCATTCAAAGGTTAAAAAAGATTGTTCCTTCAATAAAATTATGTCAAAAGATTTTGATTTAAGATAAATTCATCCCAACTTTACAAATTGGTTAACTGATAAACATATAGGTATGTACTTAGGGTTGAAAACAAGTCGATCAAGTCGAACCAAAGTTCAACTCGATAAGAATTTGTTCATCTCGAAACTCGAGTCGAGTTTGGTATAAGTTATTTTTTAGCTCGAGTTTTGCTCGGTTAATGTTTGCGAACTGTTCGGTTCATGTGTTATATATATTAAGTCAGCTCATGAATTTAATGAA